CCCTCCAGCGCCCCGGCGGGGGGGCGGCAGGGAGCAGGTGCAGCTGAGCATGATGGGAAATGTAGTCTCTCGCCCCCCCCGCAGGCTCTGCCCCCCCCGCCTCTGCACCCTGGGAAGGACAAAAGTGTGCGGGAGGGGGAGCCGGGGGGTGGGCTGGGAGTGTCTGACCCCCCCAGAGCAGGTGCACTGTCTCCCCCACTGCCCCACAGCGGCCCCTAGAGGGGAAAGGCCTTGTGTCTCCACCCCAGCCAGCAAGTCCCCCCTGGGCCTGGCGGCAGCGCCCCTCTGAGCCAGCCAGGGCCCCCAACCCAGTCCCACCGTATCCCAGCCCCCCACAAGCTTTCCCCTCCCGACCCCCTTGCGAGGGAGAGCAGGGCTATTCTCTGCATGGGGAAACTGAGTCACGGAGCAGCTCAGGGGGTTCACCCCACCCCCGGCCCAGCCCGTGGCAGGGCCGGGAGCTTGGGGTCAGCCAGCCTGTCTGGACAGGGCACCCTTGAACTCCACCCTGCCTTGGGGGTGACAGCTGGGGGGATGGGGAAAGTGGCAGGGGTGTTTGTGCCCCTCCCCCAACCCTCCCCCCTTCCCCCATCCCATCTCCCTCACCTCACCCCACCCTGACCCTCCAGCCCTTCCCCAACCCCAATCCTCCAGCCCCTGCTAACCCTCGCTCCCATTGCTCCAATGCCCCCCACACCCATAGCCCTAAACCTCCCACACCCCACCTTCCATACACCCTAGATCCCTTCCCTTCCCCCTAAATCTGCCCCACACCACATCCCCTGACCCCCTCCCCACCCACCCTTGATCCCAGAGCACTTCGCTCATGCCCCCTACAACCTCCCCATCTCCCCTCCGCCTCACAGCCTTTCCCTCATAATCACCCCCCACCGCTCCTCCCGCATCCCCCCCCCCCCCGGCCTGCCTCTGCACTCCCTTCCGTGGCCAGTGGTGCTGTCAGACTAAGAGAGAACACCAATAATCAGCTGTGTGCCTGCCAAATAGTCCAGCCCCCCGGCTCTAACCACTAGCCCCCACTCCCCTCCCAGAGCCAGGGAGAGAACCCAGGAGCCCTGGCTCCCAGCCCCCCGGCTCTAACCACTAGACCCCAGTCCCCTCCCAGAGCCAGGGAGAGAACCCAGGAGTCCTGGCCCCCAGCCCCCCGGGCCCTAACCCTAACCCCCCCCCCCCCCCCACAGCCA